GAGGCGGCAGTGGCCGGGAGTGGCCACTGCACTCCAGTCTGGGTGACAGAATGAGACTCCAACTCAAAAAAAGAAACTGAAACTGTGATTGCTTGTAGCTGAGCCTTCTTTCTCAAACGACCTGCATGGAATAAGGAATTTGCACTCAGAATGTCTATCTGTCTGTCTGTCTGTCTCTCTTTTGTTGAAGACTTAATGAAAATGTTTGCTAATATCATGTAGAAGCCATCCCCAAGACTAATATTTCTTATTTTCTTTTTTAAATTTGGATTTCAAGGGCTGATAAAAGTGAAACATGTAACCGGTCATGGCCGTTTAATTTAGAGGAGATCAAGGTACTGATTTTTCATTATATTTAACCCCCAGAGCATTGAACTAGATAACTCTTTTCTTCATAAGTGTACCTTCTAAATCATGTTTAATCACGGGGTCATGAATATATTCACCAGGACTGAGCTCCTGGTTCTGTTGTACTCATTACTGATCCCTAAAGCAACTCTGAGAGTTCAATAAAAACTGGCCTTTTGCCTCCACTGTGCAGACCCCAATGTTTGCCTGCCAGCCCTGACCACCCACAGTTCCCAGGCCTAGGTGGGATGACTGACAGTGGGGTCTGGTGGGCGTGGTGTGTGGGGAGGCTTCTCAAGACAACCATGGCTTAGAAGTTGGGCATGTGGTCCCTAGGGCTGCCTTTCGGGCCGTTGGATGGGTGGGACTCTCAGAAGGGAGGACAGAAGGGGCCTTTGCAGACAAGAGGTGGTGTTAGAGAATGACTTCTGGGATGGGGACCCATGAGCAACATTAGCAGAAGCACTTTCCTGAGCTATCCCTGCCTCACATGGAATGTGGAACCTACACACACACACACACACACACACACACACACACACACACACACACACACACACACACACGCCCGTCTTCCCTTCGGGGTGACCAGTCCTACATCAGGGTACCTGGTCCCTGGATTTATGGGGCAGGGTCCAGGGGTCACTAGGACCTCCTTGCAACCTGAGGTGGAATCAGGATTTGCAGAGCTATAGGTCCTTTCTGGGATGCACACTCCCCAGGACCGTGTGTTCCAGGCTGCTACAGGCTCTAATCCCTTCCTCATTTTTCCTCCCCACAAGGTGGATGAGCCCAGAAGCCAGCAAGGCCTGGGCACCATCTGTGAGCTTTGTGACAGTGCACCAGACTTGGTGATGCCTGGGTCCTCATACATCCTCCTCCCTCAGACCTCCCTTCACTCCCCACACCCCAGGGACCCTGCCTGTGATTGGTTGACTCTAAAGTGGAACAGAAGCTTGATGGGTCCCAGGGCGAAGAGCTTTGCACTTGGCCAGATGCTGTGCTCAGGGCTGGAAATGTGGGGTGCACGGGGCCAGTGGTGGTCTTGCTTACAGTTGGGAGATGGTGCCAATGAAGCCCCTCCACACACACACACAGTTACAAACTGACAAGTGCTGGCAGAGGAACATGCAGCTGGAGCGTGAGGTGGACAGGTCTGGGCTGGCTCCTGAGTGCTGCTGGACTCAGTGTGACCATCTGGGGGGACACAGGCAGACCACCTTGCACACGGGCTCTCCTCTAGGAAAAGGAGAGCTGGGATTTCTCTTTTTTTTGAGTTGGAGTCTCATTGTGTTGCCCAGGCTGGAGTACAGTGGCACTCTGACGACCACAGCAGCCTCAACCTGCTGGGCTCAGGCGATGCTTCTGCCTCAGCCTTCCAAGGAGCTGGAACTATAGGCATGTGCCACCATGCCCAGCTAATTTATTTTATTTATTGTGGAGACAAGGTCTCTCCATGCTGTCTTGAACCAGTGGGCTCAGGCAATTCTCTTGCCTCCGCTTCCCAAAGTGCTGGGATTATAGGCATGAGCCACCACACCTGACAGGATTTTTTGTTTTAATAGACATGATTTTAGGAGCAGTTTTAGGTTTACAGAAAAATTGGACAGAAATGAACACACAGTTCACCCCCTTCTCCCTCCAGTGTTCCCTCATCAACATCCCCTGAGAGGGTAGAATTTGTCACAGTTGATGAACTGATACTTATACCTCATCATTAGCTAAGTCTGTCATTTTGTTTTTATTGTTGTTTCTTTTAGTCAGAGACTCACTCTGCTGCCCTGGCTGGAGTACAGTGGTGCTATCGTGGCTCCCCACAGCCTCAACCCCTTTCTGAGCTCAGACGATCCTTCTGACTCAGCCTCCTGAGTAGCTAGAATTACTACTGGCGCGTACCACCACGCCCAACTAATTTTTGATTTTTTGTAGAGATGAGATTTCACTATCTCGCCCAGGCTGGTCTCAAACTCCTAGGCTCAAGCAATCCTCCCGCTTCGATCTCCCAGAGTGCTGGGATTACAGGCATGAGCCACCATGCCCAGTGTTAATGTTAGGGTTTACTCTTTGTGTTGTAGAGTTTTATAGGCTTGGACAAATGCGTGAGGGCAAGTATCCCCACTGCAGGATCATATGGAGTCCCACTGCCCTAAACAGCCCTATGTCCCCTGGTTCCTTCCTGCCTCTCCTCCTCCCTTGAACCTTTGGCAGCTGCTGTCTCATTGCTATCTCTTTAAAACGTTGCTTCTTCCAGAATGTCCTATAGTTGGAATCAGAGCATCTCACCCTCCTGCCTGACTTCTTGCACTTAGCAGTATACTTTTACGCTTCCTCTGTGTCTTTCCAGGGCTGGATAGCTCATTGGTTTCCACTGATGGAGATATTTTACTGTCTGCATGTGCTACTGTTCATTCACGCACCCACGGGATGCTTGTGTTTTCACATGTAGCCTTATGATCACAGAGATTTCGCTTTTAGCTCTATCCTAAGAAACACTTTCTATAGAAGAAACACAGAATCATTATATGCACCCGAGTGTCAATTGATTAGCAGAGCTCAGTTTGTTGAATGTATCAGTTTATCAAATTTGCCTTCTTGGTTTTGAGTTTATTAGGTCATGCATAGACTTTTTTTTCTTTTAATTATACATAGGATCTTTTGCCAGAGATGAGGACATACTGGCCTGATGTGATCCACTCGTCTCCCAACTGCAGCCATTTCTGGTAAGTGTCAGCTGCTGACAGCCACGAGACCGGCAGGAGAACTTTGAGACTGAGCATCTCACATCTAAGAGGACTGTGGGAAGTGTGGGTAACAGACAATGGGTCTTGTCTGCTGAGGCTGAGCAGCCAGAACAGCCTTTACCATAGAAGTGATTCTGTGATGCTGTTTTTGGTGCCTTTCGACAATGGCTAAAACAGGAGGGAAGGTGACACTTGCTTTGTAAATCCCTCTTCTAACCTGTGTGCTATTGTGTTCGTTACTTCACTTGACTTTTTTTTTTTTTTCTACTGAGGTTTAACAGATGCTTGTATGTCTAAGACTTAGTACAAATCAGACAGGAGTGGATATTTCTTAAGAAAATTGTGTTCCTGGCCAGGCTTGGTGGCTCAACCTGTAATCCCAGCACTTTGGGAGGCCAAGGCGAGTGGCTTGCCTAAGCCCGTGGGTTCAAGACCCGCCCAGGCAAATTGGCGAGACCTTGTCTCTACAATAAATCAAAAATTAGCCAGGCATGGTAGCAGCTAATTAAAAAAAAAAATCTGTCTTGAAATCTATTAAGAAGAAGAAAAAATGTCCTCAGATAATAATCATATGACTCAGGGAGGAGGGAGCGAGCCTATCACGTGATTCTGAGACTTTAGTCTGTCACCATGGAACACCTTGCAGTTTAGCAGAAGCTCAACCTAGGAAAAAGTGCTGTGTTGAATTCAAGATAACTTAGCATTAGTGCTTTTCAAGAAGATACAATTGACATTCTATTTATTTATTTATTTTATAATTTTATTTTAAAGATGTGTGGTACAATTCAGGATTAGGTGTACAAGTGGACATTCTTTTTACTTATATTATATTAACCAAAGGTAATTTTTCATTTTCTCTGTCTTACTTCAGTATGGCAATTTGTAATTCAGATCACAACTAATCAGATTTTACCCAGAAAGATTCATTTAACTTATAAATATGTTTGTGTAAAATTTTCAGGAAAATTAAAAGTTAAGTTTAAGCTGGGCTCGGTGGCTCAGCCTGTAATCTTGCACCTTTGGGAGGCTGAGGTGAGTGGATTGCCTGAGCCCGCG